CATACATAATTTTCTACATCTTTCACAGCTGCAGGGAGTTTTGATAGGAGGAAGCCAACTTTTTTACAATTGAACAATCCAATGGACAAAGGACTTGTGGATAGGTGAATCTGCCTGAAGCATGTGCTGGAAGCAGTGATTCTTAGAAGATTCTCTGTCAGAATCTCTACCAGATTCAACTGGCAGCTCTGCTGAGAGAAAGAGAAGATGCATGGACAAAGAAGATTGCAGCATGCACAGAGAAGATTCACTTGAGAGAAAGAGAAGAAAGATGCACAGAGAAAAGGTTTTCTAACACTAGACATGTATGAATTTTATCGACATGGAATGAAGATTAGATATCCAGGAGATACATTGTCATGACTGATTTGGAGTCTTCCATCATTCAGGCAGCGTAAGGAAAAAACTTGGATTTGTGTTTTAGCAAAATCTGTATTTCTCTGCAGCTTTCACAGTAAAGCTTATTCCTAAATACTAGGGAATTAGGAATTCCCATGGATCTAGAATTGGTGTAAAAGATAATTCTGTAACTATGCAATCTTTACTGTGCTTAATACAATCAGTGGTGCTACTGCCTGTTGTGATACTGGAGAACACAATGTGATTACTTTCTCTCTGTAGTTTTGCAAATGGACATTTCACTCTTTCTGCATTTCTTTCCCTTTGAAATGAAAGGAATTAACAGGACATCAGTGACCTAAAAAGGCAGCAGTAATTTTACATAATTTTTATTACGAAAAATATTGCCTGAGGGATGTCAAAAGGCTAATGGTCAACACATTTTCCTGGCATAAAAAATCCCCAATAAAGTCCTTTATACGCTTAGTTCAAATCAGACACAAATTAATATCTTCCATTTCACCAGAATACTTGGTACTTCAGGATATAAAGACTTCTGAAAACTATGGCTTTAAGGAGACAATATTTTCTGGAGAATAATAATTTCACCTGAAAATATCAATATTTTTTTGATATTTGCTTCTTACAGAAAGCAACTCATTAGCAAATCACAGTAGAAATCTTCTGTGATCATCAACAAAGTGTACTTACACTAGCATGAAATATATTACCAGCATTTCAGAAAGTCTTGTTTTCATGCAGACACAGTTCAAGCAAAATATCAGATCTTGGTAATAAATACAAAAAATAAACCATAATAAACACTGGAGATTGATTTTTTTTTAATGTAGTTAAACCTTTACTAAAATGTTAAAATACTGTATGGTATTTGCACCAGAAATTGAGGTAAGTAATAAGTACTGTAAATATCATTAATATAAGAATAGCAACATGCAGAAATATTGAGAATGCCTTCTGTAATGGGGTTTGAATTGAATTAATAACATATTAATGTCTCCAGTGATCACAACCGAGTTACTAAAGTAAATTTGAATGTGGCCTAGGATCTCTTAGTCTTCTCATTATGAAATATATTTGCTTTCCCAAGAGATTGTACACAATACTTCTATTCCAAAATAAATATTATCAGTCATTCATAGTCCCTTAATTCAGCTGGGTAAATAACTGTAACCTTGTTTCATGGTACACAGACCTTTCACAAAATCTAGTCCAAAGCAATGAAAAGGAGGACAGACACTTCATTACACATATTTCTTTTTCCCTTCATGAAGATAGTGTAAGAGTAAACACACAAAAATCTTAACTCTGACTGAGGACACTTAGGTATCATTGGTAAAGGTTGTAGCAGAATCTGTACTGAAGAGTTGCATCATGAGGCCTTCTGGAGTTATGTTCCTCTAGTTCTTCAATTTGACTTGTATGATAGTGTTGCAGTGTTTCATGATTCTGAAGCTATTTACTGTATTGTCTGTACAGAAGAGCCCTACTCAGCAATTGGGTCACACAATACTAAGCACGGGAAGAAGACTTCAGATATAGTGTCAAACTCCAAGCTCTGCAGTCTGATTTGAACTTAAATCCTTTAATTTCACTGTTCTATATCAAGACAAGGATCTTTAACATTAACGAAAATCAACTCTTTTTCTAGTCTGGGATTAAATCTAATTATTGGCTGACAGCTAAAAGCAGTGAGCACTTCAACAGGTATCTCCTTTGGAAGTAAAACTGCTGGCAATTCCTCTGAGAGGGTTCTAACCCATGATAAAGACTGAGCAGGTGCTCTGGTGGTGTCTTGGTGGGTGGCAGGTACTCTTGCACTAATGGAGGCACTGAAATTACTGGAATATACAGGGCTTTCAACTCTTGGAAATGGCTTAGAAAAAGCATGCAAAGAAAACAATGGACAAGGACCATGTGATGCTCTCCAGAAAAATATTTGATAAACCAAAAGCATAGTTGTGTGAGTAATGTATGTGTCTGAACTTCACCTGACTGCAGCTGAGCAAATATGCTTTTTCTAAGCATATATTTACAGGATGTTATCAGAAACAGGAGACAGCACTAGACTGTCTAGAGCACTAGAACTTTTGATCATGGCAGCTCTTACATTCTCATAAAGCTCTGAACAGCTAATATACCCTATCACTAGTTTTAATAATAAGAAATTATAATACTGGGATCTAGAGAAAAACTTGAGTGTTATAAATAATGCTGTTACACAGGGATATGTGTTAATTATTGGCACCATAGTAAAACCACTAAGCTGCTATCTCAGTTATTCCTGCAGTAACTTATCCACTTTCTAGCAGTGACAACTTACAATGATGGATGAGGAAGAAGGACCTGAACTTAAATTAAAAGAAATAATAAATAAGTGACAAAAATAAGAGCATCTGTACTTGTCCAGTACTATATTGTCTTCATTTCTTCTCCCTTGCCACATTTCCACTGACATGAGGAGGTAATTTACTGTGCCAAGGAAATTCATGTCTGCCTGTGCTGAATTACTGCATTCATATTTCTGCTTGTTTGTAGCGAACTAAACTCGTAAGTCCAGCTATGTAGATGAGTCATACAGGCTGTGCTTCATTTTACAAGGCATCTTTAAATACCACTCTTATTTAACTTGTACTCATTACCATCCGCAAGCAATGTGTGTGCCATACTATCCTAATTGCCAGAAATTTGAGCAAGTAAATCATTAAAAGGTTAAGTTATTTTTCATGCTAAATTTAATGCACAGTATTAATCAACTTTATTCCATTATTATGAGTAATGCAATGTCCTATAGTCAAATCAATTTATAATTATGCCAGATCACATGGCAGGGGGGAAACAAGAACAACAAACAACAGACGGATGTCATTTCTGCTTAAATTCTCCATGTAAATTACAAACTGTTAAGTCAGACAGGGCTTTCTTTGCAGAGCACAACATCCAGATGGAATCTCACCAGCAGAGCAAGAACTGAGACACATCTTTGTCTCAACATTTTAAAAGCAAAGTAACCAAATATTTTGCAAACAACACCCAGGCTGCTTTATATTTCCCTATTTGATCCGTAAGTCTGCTTTTTGGTATTATTTCTGAATAGAAATCTTTGAGACAACAGTGAAACAAAGCCACTTTGGCAAAAGATAAGACATGAATGAGACAATTTCATGTGTTGCTAACATCCACCATAGGATGGATCTTATTGCCCAACATGGACATCTACAGAGGTAAATCTTCAAAAACATTTCTGATGAGTGGTGTGCACAGAGCATCTTTCCAGCTCCTCCAAAATGCAGTTCTGTACATAAGAAGCATCTCTTTCATGAACTACTTATTCCAGAATATTTTATTCTTGTTTAATCCTGCTGAATATCATAGCACCAGTGGTAAATCCAGAGTCTTTAACATATACTAAACTGCAACCTGTTGCCTCCCTGAAGGTGAGAAAGCAAGCTCTTGGGTACCTCTTCCAAAATAAATGACAGAGCTGAGTTATTCCTGTAATTTGGAGATACAAGAAGGTACAACATTATACATGGGTAGTTAAATGCACTTCTTAGCAATATGAAGCTAGTTAGTGGGAAATATTTGATTGTTCATCAGTTAGAAAACTCTAACTGCTCTAAACCTATCGCTGACAACTATTGCAGATTCAAGTTGATCTAATTTGGTTCATCACAATGAATTTGATTCAAAGTGAGGTTTCCATTTGTTTGTTCTGATAGGTTGCTTAGCATTAAAAATGTCCTTAAGAATTGCTTGCAAGTCTGCTTTCATGCTGTTATAGAAAAGGTAACTTCCTAGGCACACTTGCATTCACCTTGTCTCTCCCTTGGATGTATTAGCCATTGTTAAGAGTTATACTACTTAATTAGGGAGAAGAATAAAATATTACTTTAGGGTAGTTATACAGGTATAAACTATCCTGTATATTCTATTATACAGGTATAATTATTCAAGCATAATGTTTCTGTGGAAAAAACACCCAAACACACACGTATTGCAAAGACTCATCTCCACAACAGTTTTGGCAACTGCACTTTATCTCACGATGTATTTTGAAATGGCAGCTCTTGCCAGGAGAGATAGATGTTATATTTTTATCCTCACAGCTGTAAGTCACAGAGTTTGTTTGTTCTTTGCATCACCAGAAATCAACATTTTAGGATGTTCCAGATCCCACAAAACTTACAATAGGTAAGTACATTATAGACTACACACTATCCAGATAAGGTAGAAAATACTTTTCTTTGTATTATTTTATGTTTTACATTGTAAAATATTATGGGAAAATGCAATGAAGCAGAAATATGTAATGCAAACAAAATTTATTTATATTACAAACATATGTGGACCATTCATCATTCATTCTCAGAAGGTTAGCTATGTTTGACAGCTATGGCAGATATCATAAAATATCTGTTTCAGAACACTTTTCTGACAAAGTATCTTAGTTCAAGCAGAACACACACGTGTGGTTGCATGGCTTATTGCTAAATGCAAAATTTATTATTAAACCCAGAAAATATACTTTTAGGCAGAACAGGAATCACTGGTTTTGGTGAGCTATTAAACTGAACATCTTGTCAAGTCATAAGACTGGGGAGAAAAGTGCTGTCAAGAAAATGGTGAAAAGACATATTTACCTTGTGCAGCTGATAATATTGCTTGGCACCTACTCCTCCTTGCTCTTCTCCTGTCCATAACACCAAGCGCAGTGTCCTTTTTGGACGAAGTCCTAAAACACAGGTTTTAATATTATTTTTAGTATTAAATACAGATATATTTTGAGCATTTTTTGCATTGGTTTCCAGCCTCCAATAGATGAAAATCCTGCATGTCCACAAACCAAACACAACCTATAACTAATGTGGGTTTTTCTGTGAATGACTGAGGTTTAGTGAGAGAGGCCACATGAGAAAGAAGTGAGCAGGTGAGGTGCTGCAGCAGCACAAGAGAAGTTCATTTCAGGGATTTGTCATGGTTAATTTATTACAATTAATTGAAAACTAGCTGCTGGATTTTTATGAGAAATGTTTATCCATTTCAAGAGCTGAGGGGCTATGTAATATTATTTTGCTTTTTATCAGAGAAATGAAAAGCAGCAATCTGTAATTTGGAATCTGAAAGAGCCAGCTGTTAAATGTATGCATGACTTTCTGAAACAAGGCGAACGTTTTCTATTTTGCTATGGTAGCTCAATCAGAAAGATAAGTTCTCAGATAAATTTTGAAGTAATTTTTGCCATGGCAGAACTGATCAGAGAGAAGTTGCTCCCCTCTATTTATTTGGTTGTTTCTATTCATAAATTAATACATTGAGAGAAACTTAAGAGCATGGAAGAGCAAAGAGATAAAGAAAAAACTGTTCTCTGTGCAGTGGAATGCTAATTATGTTAGAGAAAAAAATAAAGAAAAAACACGAGGAGATTATCACAAGTGATAAAATACCACACACACTTTTGTGCTGAAGAAAAATGATATCAGTATCACTGTCCAAACCTATTTCCTAACTGCCAATAGACTTGACCTTCATTAATTTTTTTCATTTGACACAATGAATATGACATGAACATTCTTGAAACTACGTGGTAGCAATCCTCAGAACTGAAGGCAGAATATAAAAGAAATACCCCAAATCTGAATAAAAGAGTTTGGATTTTCCAATATTTCATGAAGAAGTGCAAACAAGTTTAAAGGTGTGTTTTCTGACTCTTGATCTGTTGACTGTGAACAGAAAGGTTGTCAAACTTCATTACTTTAAAGACAACCTCTGCACACCTCCCAGTGGATTCCCTGCTCTCCTAAATCACAATAGTAAAGGATTAGCTTCCTTTGCTTTTCAAATTAGTCAGATGGCTTACGAGGTAAAATTGAGATAATAAAATAGCTCTCAGTTTGAAGTCAGAATGATTTAAGCTCAAAATAACCCAAAATGTGTCAGCAACTCAGTTAGAAGAGGTAGCTGTAAAAGAAAAAGTGCTAGTATAAAACAGAGGCCAGTGCTGTAGTATGGTTCCAGCAGCACTGCAGTTTAAGTGGAAAAAGGAAGTTTATTTGTCATATCACAAAATGCAAAGTGAAGGTCAATCTCCAGCCCACCCCACCAAGTTGGTGAGTGTAGCTTTGGCAGGAAATGCTTAAGACAGGGAAGCAGCATCGTCTGGCACCTCCCAGGCAAAAAAATCAAGCTGCTTTAATCTGCCACTGCTGCCCTAAGGGGGACTTGGGCCAGTGATCAGGGGGTCCTCGTGGCTGGCTCAGATGGGCTGTAACCTCAGCTCCTGCTCTCCAGGGGCTGGGATGATCTCAGCTCACTTGTGGAAAAGACATTTGAGAGTCTTATGGCCCCCTCCCTGCCCATCATTGGACCTGCCCATTGAAGCTGGGGAAATAAAATAGCCCTGCTTAGCTTTGGTCTTTCCAGTCCAGGACATGGTGTATCAGCTTTTCCCATCTCATGGATTCCTGTCAGCAGTGTCCTACTGGAATTAAATGGGCAACTTTAAAAAAATAAAAATACATAAGCTGTGGAGGCAGTTATTTTAAATACAAACAAAGTCTACAGAGGAAAATTTAATTTCCTCATTATCTTAATCTGAAAGCGATAAGTATTTATCTACCTGTTATTAAAAACAGAGCTAATCTGACCAAAGAAAGCAAACAAATCCAGCATCCAGAAGTACAATTACTAAGAAGATTCTCAATGCATGTTTTTATTAGAAAAAAAAATGAAGTACTGTATTCAAGTTACAAAAGTTTTTCAAAGTAAGTTTAACTACTTTGGTTTGCTTCTTAAAAGCAAACCTAAGCAAGGTATCATCTTCACAAAAGCAGAAGTCTTTCATACCACAGCCCAAATATGTATTGAAAAGACACAATAAAATAACTATTGGGCTAGAAGACTATGTTTTATGATGGGTGGGTAGGCAATTTTAAAATGAAGGAAAACAGTTGCATTAATAAGATTGCACCTCTTTCCTTGTTATCTGAATAAATGACTTATTACATAGTATTAAAAATAAAGAGACTATCAGAAGAAAAAATCCTACAGAAGAATTTCCAAATCTCCAATGTTTTAGAAAAATGTATTATCTTTTTTTTCTCCTGTCTAGCTTGCCCTTAACCAAAATAAAATCATAGTTTACCACAAAGGTGCATTTTGGTGATCAGTTTCTATATCCTTATGGTTTATCTCAAGCATAAAAGATACTATGGGCATGTGGAATCACAATTTAAAGAATGAAATAAAAACATCAATATGGTCGATCTGTGACTAAGGATACATCTGTAGCAAGCACAGCAGGACATCTACTCTATTACACTCCCTCTGTGCTGGAGTGGCTGCTGTCCTTTCCTTCTCCTTGGGTACCACAAGGACTTCTGTCATACCAATGTGCAGGTCTTATTGACTCTTTTTTCTGTTTGTTTTAAATCATCATAGATTGTTCACATTCACAGATAATAGCAGCAACACTTGAATTTTATGTCCTACATATCTTGCTTATTGGGTTCAGGGGAGGGTTACAAAGATGATCAGATGGATGGAACTTCTCTCCTATGAGGAAAGGCTGAGACTAGAGAAAGCTCCAGGGAGACCTTAGAGGAGTCTTCCAGTAACTGAAAAGCATCAACAAGAAATGGGGACAGACATTTTAGCAGGGCCTGTGGCAACAACGACAAAGAGCAATGGTTTTAAACTAAAGGAGGATAGATTCAGATTAGATCTAAGGAAGATGCTTTTTACAGTGAGGACAGTGAAAATTGTCACAGGTTGCCCAGAGAAACTGTAGATGCCCCATGCCTGGAGAAATTCAAGGTCAGATGTAGCAGGGCTCTGAGCAACCCGATCAAGTTGAAGCAGTTCCTGCTCATTACAGGGGGTTGGACTAAATGACCTTTTAATGATGTTTTTCAACACAAACTATTCTCTATATTCTCTTACTTCTCATACTCCCTAAGTCTCTAATGTACTTGCTTTAGGAGCTACTGGGAGAGGTATATACAGATATATCATCCTCAAGCATTGTTCTCTGCTGCACTGGACATACATAAGCTATAGCCTTTTCTGCATTTTTATCCTGTGGCTTGGAATTTATTTAAAAGGTATTAACACAAAATATTTACAAGTATTTATACAAAAAAATATCAAGATACACAATGATGCTGCTGACATTCTTTAAATTCTTATTACACTCCCTACCTTTTTCAAGTTTGGAGCTGATTAGGCATAGGGGATTTACTGAGAATCATTAGTTGAGATATTTCTATCATGCTTGCACTTCTCATAAAATACCTGGAATTTCCATTTCTGCCACAGCATAAAATAAAAATAAAACCAGTACTCTACATTTTGTGAAAGAAAATAAAACTCATAATCAAAAACAGTGGTATAATCTGCTTATACCTGATTTATGTATCCTGTGGTATGGGCAAGGAAGAGAAAAAGCTCTTACTGCTAGCAACATGTTTCTCTGCCTAATTTCAAAGAACAGACATACAGAAATAAACTGTAAACAATAGGATGATCGTAATAACACAGTTAATTGAAGACTTTTCCTCTGAAGACCTAGAAGAAATCTCCATTCTAAACCAGAAGGACTTTGGCTTTCACTCATGTTAGAAACACGGCCCTCTATGGTTTAAACAATTGATCTCACTACTTGTGCAGAAAAGTGCCTGTGCACTCATTTATTTAAGAATAAATAGTTTTTTAAATTGAGTGACAAATAATGATCTCACTGAGAAAATCATAGAATCATGGAATGGTTTGGGTTGGAAGGGACCTTAGAGATCATTTAGTTCTAACAACCCTGCCATGGGCAGGGACATTTCACTAGGTCACTTTGCTCAGGCTCCATCCAGCCTGGCCTTAAACACTTCCAGAGACGGGGCAATAGCAACTTCTCTGTGCAACCTGTGCCAGTGCCTCACCACCTTCACCACCTCATCCAAGGAATTTGGATTCCTTCCAAATATCTGATCTAAACCTCCTCTCTAAGTTTGAAGTCACTGTCCATGTCACTACATGCTCTTCTAAATAGATTCTCCTCATCTTTCTTGTGCACTTCCTTCAGGTGCTGGAAGGCCACAATCAGGTCATCCCTAAGCCTTCTCTTCTCCAGGCTGAAAAATTGCAGTTCCCTCAGCTTTTCCTCATAGGAGAGGTGCTCTGTTGTAATCATCTTCATGGCCCTCCTCTGCACTCACCCCAGCAAGTCCCCATGGTTCTTATCCTGGGGTCCTCAGAGCTGGATGCAGCACAGATGGGGTCTCACAAGGGGAGACCAGAGAGGCAGAATCCCCTCTCTCACCCTGCTGGCCACGTGGTTTTGGATGCAGCCCAGGATATATTTGGTTTTCTGGACTATAAGTGCACATTGCCAGGTCATGTCCACCGTCTCACCAATCAGTACCCTCAAGTTCTTCTTTGTAGAGCTTCAGAGTTAAAGGCTTCCAAAAACAAGGCAAAGAACAGCTGAAAAAAAATCCTTTTAGTATTACTTAAACCTTGATTATAACATATTTCTAATTCTCTAGTGAGGCTCAAATTAGACATTGGAAATAGCTTTTAGCTTTGGAAACTGTCTTTCTTTTCTTCTTAAACCAGTCTAATGCAGTGCAATCTCCTTGATTTTTGTCTGTTGATAGCTTCTTTTTGTGGCACTGAGGACAAAGCACTGCAAAAAAATAGCACTGGAAAGCAAGTAAACCTCAGAGAATTGAAAGTTTAGAGTAA